CCGATTTGCGGGACGAAATGCAGAGGACGATGCAACAGTTTTGCGCGGTTTTTAGGACTTGCTCGATACTCCAGAGGGGATGCAGAGAGATGACGAGACTTTATACGTGTGTCTTGCCGGATATTAACGTACGATTTTATTGATCTCCATTTAATTATTCAGTTCAATAAAAAAAAAATAAAGAAATAACACGGATTTTAATCAGTCCAATGCATAAATAATGATCAATAATTGAAGAATCACTAGAGTAGTAACGATGTACCGATGAAACTAATTTGCTTTCAGGTCCAGGACGAGTCCCTGATTTGGAACACCGAATTGGTAGAGGCATTAGAACTGCAGAATATGATGCTGTACAATATGCACACAGTGTTTGCAGCTGAGAATCGAAAAGAATCGAGAGGAGCGCACGCAAGAGACGATTATCCGGATCGAATTGATGAATACGATTACAAGAAACCGATTGAGGAACAGGTCAGACGGCCCCTGATGGAGCACTGGAGAAAGCACACCCTGACTTGGGCCCTGGACGATGGCTCGGTATTACAAAAAAAATTCATTCAATTGAAATCCACGAACTGAATGAATTTAAATATTAAATTTATAAAAGATATAAAAATATTATATCAAATATTATTTATTTATTTAAATCGTAGATGTGCATTTCCTATCGTCCGGTTATTGACACAACCCTCGACGAAGAAGAAGCGAAACACGTGCCCCCAGCTATCCGCGCGTATTAATTCTCCGGTTTAAACGATTCGCCGAATCAATTATCATCATGAAGAGTTGATAACCAACAAGTCAATACAAATCGAATCTGGGGTGACCCGGGAGAGCCGCCGTCTCGATATCCTTATCACTCAATTATGGGGATTATCACGCGTTAATTAGAGGAGAGAATCTGACATTATTTACACAAGTAAGATTGTTAATTAAAGAAAACAATAAATTTTCAAATTCTGAGGATTTTCATTGTATCGTACTATGGAAAAGTTATCCGTTCCTATTTACTAAATATATTAAGTATATAGAAGGGATGCTGGGGCAAAATGGACGCCCATGAAGAAATGTTCCTCTCAATTTTTTTACGTTTTTAAATATTTAAACAAAACGTAAATAAATAAATTGAGGATTTAGCAGTTAGTCGATGGATGAACTGTCGACTGGAATTCTCCAAAAATAAAAAAATGTAAATAAATCAATAAATACTCGCTAATGATAATAATAATGACAAGGCACATCAACGGATGGGGTCAAAATTCTAATTGGCTTAAACGATGTGTTTACCCGAAATTCATTACGTCTTAAACAATTGAATAAATATATTTTTTTTGAAACTATCGATTCGTCATTCAATCCACTGATAATGACATCAATTTGAATATGATAATGACATCAATTTAAATAAAAAAAACATGTCAACATCACCCCACGCCGACGAAGGTCATGTCCCCAGGGAGTGACTTCAAGTCCTTCAGGTCATCGTCCCACTCATCACACTCATCAACACTCATCAACACATAATGAACATCCAAAATTATAATTAGATATTAAAAAATAGCTAATTTTCACTGTTTTTTACTCACTGGAAATGAAAAAAAAATGTATGCACCGGCGATTTAGCGAGATTTGTTGTGGATTTCACGAGAAGCATTCCGACGGTTGTTGGGAGACCCGCGTGTTTGTGTAAAAAATTCAAATACTGGAATATTGGCACCACTGCAGCAACAGTTAGCCAGTAGTCAACGATCGCTACCTTGTCCACTCGCTCTGCCGTGCGAGAAGTGCGCGAGTGAAAACGTGGATATATCTCATATGAAAGCATCTCAAAGTATCAGAGAATAGGGTTAGTCTCCAAAGAAGCCGACAGTCTGTTGAGTCCGGTGCTGTCTCCAAATTAACAATCGAGGTGCTTGTTATTGTCCAACGCCAAACATACCAGGATGAGTGGAATACTCAAGATATCGTGTCTACTTGCAAGACAACCCACTCGAACAGTGGTAAGACCAGAACTATTTATACATTAATCCGCATTTTCGTATGAGATTACATAATTAAGGTTTTTCACCAAGGTACAGAATTATTTGACTTGTCCTGATTACATATCTCAAGAAAATTTAATTATTTTTAACTGTTATGTAAGTTTTCATCGTTTTCATTTTTGGGGTGCATTATTGGAATAAATTCTGGAGAATCGGTAGAAATAACGAATGAGTACCTTTCCGGCTCTAGAGGGGTTGTCCCACCCCTCTGTTTGGACTTCTCTATTTTTATTTAGCAATTGCGTGAAATTGTGTTATCCTCGCTAGGAGGGAATTCTAAAAATTCATGGCTGTCACGATCTCCGCGTTATTGATCACATGTTAGACAGTGTTATCTAATTCATTCTATGTCGGCATCTAATTGCACATCCGAGAAAACACTCGGATTGCCGTGCAGCGGTTACGTCCATTGTCTTTCATTTCCTCTTTTTTTTCAAATTGTACAAATCACAAGTAGGGAGAAGAGGTAAAGGACAAGCAAGTGAATACCAGGGAAAAAAAAATTTCCTGAATGTCCAGCGGATTGTATACATAAGACATAAAACAAGGTTGACTCATAGGTATAAGCATATCGTCAATAGGTATTCATTCATTCCACATTGACTCGCTATAATATTTTATTTTCCTCAATGAGAGCAGAGCGAGGATTGTTTGAGCGATAAGATAAGGTAAATGAAACACTTGAGACGCTAATCAGGATGGTGCATATTCATTACCCAGGAGTTCATCTGTAATTTACCATCACTATCGACATCTTAATTAAATAGAGAAATTAAAAAGATGCCGGAGGTAAAGGAAATAATCATTAAGTGTATTATTGATTGCAGAATAAATTGGGAATATCTGTAGCCACGAATCGTAAATTTCACTACACCCCCGATGGAAAATTTGCAAGTGTCTCCGAGGGAATTTCAAAGCAGTATCCAGTTGTTGATCATACGTATGATGCTGTTGTCGTTGGAGCTGGTGGTGCTGGGCTGCGTGCAGCGTATGGTCTTGTTGCTGAGGGCTTTAAAACGGCTGTCATCACTAAACTATTCCCCACGAGATCTCACACTGTTGCTGCACAAGGCGGTATCAATGCTGCATTGGGTAATATGGAGGAGGACAATTGGCAATGGCACATGTATGATACGGTCAAGGGGTCAGACTGGCTTGGAGATCAGGACGCCATTCATTATATGACCAGGGAGGCACCCAAGGCTGTCATCGAGCTTGAGAATTGCGGAATGCCGTTCAGTCGTACCTCAGACGGTAATTACAATCAATTTCTGCAATTTTTACAATCCAGAGTCCATTTTCTACTTCTCTAATTCTTCCTTCTCGCCTTCTAAAAATTGGTTAATTATATTGACAGGTTTAGTGATCGCTCTAATTATTCCATAATGATATTATCCCTCAAAATATTCAAAAAAATATTATCATGTGAATAAATTACTTTGCGAAAATATTAGCCCGAAAAATGTGACAAGTCGAGATATTACGATATAATTATATTTTTTTTAATATTACAAATTAAAGGATTATGATAGTATTTCTTTACTGCGCGGATGTATTACACTGGCAAAATATTGTTGCCCTTAATCTCTTTTGAAAGAATATCCCTAAGTTTAGTTGATTGTAGTGATTTTCTTGTACGGGCTGGGGATTACTTTTGCGTACGTTAAGAAATGTATTTTAAATGTATTTTTCACACCATACGAAGTACTGCCTGGGGATTTCTATGGATTAAATTCGTCATTCTGTCTGTGACATTGTGGATTATCTTCGAGGCGCCGGTCATAACGTCATTTTTTAATTTAAAATATTGAAAAATTATTGACATATTGAGGGGCAGTTGTACTGACTAAACGTTCCGGCGTAATTGACAATGATATCAGATATGAAAATTTTTATTTCTTCCTCTGTACTTAATCTGTACCTTTTTGACAGAAGCGTGCAGCGACGACGTAGATTTTTGCTTCCTAGTTTTCGATTTTGCTCTCACCCTCTTGCGATTCACCCTCCCCTCTGTAGTATTCTTCGATTTACTCCTTTTAATTGCCAACGCACCGTCAATGTACACTTTTTTTTCATCCTCCGGCATGGCTCGCCATTGCTGTCCAGCCAGACGAATAACATTCGACGGTTGCATGATTTCCTTAGCCTCGCGTAAATTCTAATTAGATGGGAAAATTTCATGATCTGTGACTTTAACTGAATCGACTAATGAGGTACATTTCCCATGCGAATACCTGCCGGAAATCCTGAACGTAATTCAAAAAGGCATTCGCACTCTTCCAGGTGGTTTTATTGACAGCCCCAGGTGAATTGAATATAGTAACATTCGATACTGACGACGAAGTTTTCACTGAATCACGAGCAGAATCATCACTGGAGCGAGAATTGGATCTCGATCTTGTGGAATTTCTCTCGTTCTCCAACTCCATGTCCCTCCAGACTTGAAATAATTATTCCCAAAAAGATTTTTAACTAATTAATCCAACCCCTTCACATTTTCTTTAAAAATTTGAAACTACAAAAATTTTCATCCAGAAGCTATTAAGAGCGAGAAAAATAAACAACAAAGCTGTTACCAAGCAACCAAAATACAAAGAGAATTAAATTGTTACAATGACCTTCCCTACCGAAATGAGTAATAAACCGCCAACCGGACGAAATTATTAAGACACAATTAACAGGAATGTATTAAATCTTCGATTTGGAATTTTCTTAGGAAAAATCTATCAACGTGCCTTCGGTGGTCAGTCCCTGAAATTCGGTAAAGGAGGTCAGGCTCACAGATGCTGCTGCGTGGCAGACAGAACAGGTCACTCACTGCTGCACACGCTGTACGGCCAGTCCCTGAGCTACGACTGCAATTACTTTGTGGAGTACTTCGCCCTGGATCTGCTGATGGAAGAGGGTGAGTGCCGGGGGGTGATAGCACTGTGCCTGGAGGACGGTTCAATCCACCGATTCAAATCCAAGAATACAGTCCTGGCAACTGGTGGTTATGGTCGTGCCTATTTCTCCTGCACATCCGCCCACACGTGCACAGGCGATGGTACAGCAATGGTGACGCGAGCAGGTCTGCCAAATCAGGACTTGGAATTCGTTCAGTTCCACCCAACAGGCATTTACGGTGCAGGATGTTTAATCACTGAGGGTAGCCGTGGAGAGGGTGGATACCTGGTGAACAGCGAGGGTGAGCGTTTTATGGAGCGTTATGCACCGGTGGCAAAGGATCTCGCCTCTCGAGATGTTGTCTCCAGATCGATGACCATTGAGATACGAGAGGGTCGTGGAGTTGGCCCTGAGAAGGATCACATTTATCTTCAACTCCACCATTTGCCCCCAGAGCAGCTAGCAGCTAGGCTCCCAGGAATATCTGAAACTGCCATGATTTTTGCTGGTGTAGATGTGACTAGAGAGCCTATCCCAGTTCTACCCACCGTCCACTACAATATGGGAGGTGTTCCAACGAATTACAAGGGACAAGTTCTGACGTGTAAGAATGGAGAGGATGCAGTTGTCAGGGGACTGTATGCCTGTGGTGAGGCTGCAAGTGCCTCTGTTCATGGCGCTAATCGTCTAGGTGCTAATTCTCTTCTGGATCTCGTGGTATTTGGACGTGCTTGTGCCAAGACCATTGCTGGAGAGAACAAACCAGGAGAGAAAATTGGTAATCTGAGTACACACGCTGGTGAAGCCTCTGTGGCGAATCTCGACAAAGTCAGACACTCGAATGGTTCTATTTCGACAGCTGAATTAAGACTGAGTATGCAGAAAACAATGCAGACACATGCAGCTGTGTTTCGAGAGGAGGCAACCCTCCAGGAAGGATGTCGCAAAATGTCCGATCTATTCAATAAGCAGAAAGATATTAAAATCACTGATAGATCTCTCGTGTGGAATTCCGATCTGATCGAGACTCTTGAACTTCAGAATTTAATGCTCAATGCCATGCAGACGATATATGCAGCTGAAAATAGAAAGGAGAGTCGTGGCGCACATGCCAGAGAAGATTTCAAAAACAGGGTCGATGAGTTAGATTACAGCAAGCCACTTGCTGGCCAGCAACCCAAACCTGATGATCAACACTGGAGAAAGCACACCCTCACGACGATGACCAATGATAAAGTCATGATCAATTACAGACCGGTGATAGACAGTACACTCGATGCTCAGGAGTGTGCGACAGTTCCTCCGGCTATTCGTTCGTATTAAATTATGAAAATAGTCTGAGAGTTCCTATTTTCACTGTAGATAAAACAAAAACACCACAGGGTGTAAAATACCAAACGCATGGTCCCACTCTCACTAAAACACCACTTTTGTTTACGGAGAAATAGTCAGTCTCTCTGATAAAAATTCTTTGTCTACATTTATCCCGAATTTTTTTCTGTTTTTCTCAAGTTAGTGAATACACTTGATGCATTATGAGACAAATGATGCCCGAGATTAGTCAAGCTATCGATCTCATAAAATATTTCTTAGTATTCGTAAGAGAGTATTAAGGGATTCTCTGTCTCTTTCTTGTACTTAACAACAACGTAGCTAAGATCATTAAGTTATTCAGATTCAAAAGGAGAACGAGGAGAGATATTAATATAAATAGAAACCATTGATTGAGAGTTTATGATTTCTCAGTATTTTGGGAAAATATTTGTCTCGAGATATTTATACAGATGATAGTCCTACTACGCTGTTGTAACCGTTACTGCTACACTAGAGAGTGTTTTTTTAGCCCTGAATCATGGATTAAAATAATAATGAGCACAAGTTCGAGCTGACTGATTTTATTTCGAAAATTAATCATGGGAAGATGCTAAATTCAGATTGACTTTCGAACTTATTGGAGAAATCAAGCCAAGGCCCAGAAGGCTGTGTAAATATTATAAACGAGTTGGTTTGTCAATAAATGAGATTGATACAACTTTCATAGTCAGACTTTATTGTTGTAATCATTTCCAGGACTTCCCATGTTATTCAAATATTACAACACGAGAAATAGAATATTAAGAATTCTCAAACTACTTGTGCTCTACGGAAATCAATTAGCGAAGTAATGAGGAGAAACAAATCAATTGATTGAAATAGTACAGATGAAATTAATGGAGCAATCCAATGTATTTGATTTATCGTTTAATACGTCATAAATAATAATTTTACAAAAGTGAATGGATTATTAAAACGAAGGTACAACGAAAGATAAGTTCTTGCCAAAGCACACTAATAATCAAAACCTCACAATTTAAGTTTTAATACTTTAGAAAAGAAAATTAACTTAATGATTACAGATACTTCAACTTAATGAAAATGAATAATCGTGATTATGATATTCATATATTCTTACTTGAATTATTAAATTCCTGGCATACAAAAACAGACATTAATCGACGAGGTGAGCTTTTCGTAAGTATATCGAATTATTCATTAGTCTAATTCCAGTCAGTCAAATGCATATTGAATGATTACCATGAAATTTCGACAATAACAATTAAACTAGAATTGGCTACATTTTATCATCCAGATGCCAATTCTTTCGTTAACGAGTATTCATATTCGCAAATCGTGAATTCTTGAAACGACATGATCTCGTGTTGGATCCCCTCATCCCAGCATTACAATGATTTTAAAACGCAGATGTTGAGAAACATGACGACTGCCGACGATTTGCATTACAACCAAATACGTCAGCTGACGAGTGTTTCACGTTCATTCGATGGATACTCCTTGGTAACGTCAATATTTTGCCGAATCACGTCGAATTAGTGAGGAATTCACGTCTCAGTGAGAATTCATTAATTTTTCTAAACCTATTGCGCATTCGTTTGCATTTTTATAATGTTTTGTGCACAGGCAAAAACCACCTTTTGTTATGATGGACCTACGTGGTTGCGAGATGCGCAACGGGCCAATTATTTCTTCTAATTTTCCTTCTTTTTTGCTTTCATACGAATAAAATGAGAGTAAAAGAAAGGTCTCAGCTCTCGTTGGTTACATTATAGCCGCACATACCATTCACTCTTAAAAGTCCCACATATACGTAGACGAGTTTTATTTTAAATGTCAATGAAATTGTGACACGATAATGGATGGCGATTTTGCTTTTAAGTCTTGTGCTTGTTTCTAGCGTGTCTAAGCTCCTCAAGACCCCGCCGTTCACCATCAGAAATTCACGACGTGGCGCGTAATTTCTCCAGTGCTGGAACCAAACTCTCGTCAAGTGATGGACCACAACTCAGCCCACACTCGCCAATCCATCGTGCCTTGCCACTCGCATGGGACTGTAAATTCAATTTTTTCAAATTATCACGTCAGTACAATATAATATTAATCATTCATTTCCCGTTGTATTTTTATTTGGTATCGAGACAAACGATGTAATCTATTCTCGGAATCTATCCCCAGTGTTTTTACCCGCACCTTTCCAGTTAATTTTCCACTGTCTTTTTATGATAAAAACCTTTGACAATGACGTTCTTGTTGATTTTCATGATTATCTTAATAGCCTTTTGATGGGACAAATTTATCCACTCTCTACTTCTCCATCACAATCCCTTGAACTTATCAGAACGCGTTACACAGTGACCTCCGTATTTATGACGACAATGTGTTCCTAATTCGATTTTTATACCTCGGTATCTAAGAGAGATATCGAATTTTTCCTCAGGACCTCTTCCACAGAGCGGAAAGAGAGCTGCAAAAAAGTTCCCACACAAATACTGCTATCTCCTTTAGATTCAGAGATATCACTCGAAAACTTGAAACTTTTAATAGAAAAACTTTTGAAAAAGAGCTTTTGACTTTTCGTGAAAGTTCATACGTGGTTAATTAATTTTTAATTAATTTTGAATTAATTAAATAAACCAGTAAACTTTCATTTTTTAAATCAAAGATATGGAAATTTATGGTCATTCTCGGAAATCGGTGACAATAATTATCAATAGCGATGACAAATGTTGGAATTCCATTTGGGAATGATGGGATCAGTCAAAATTTGGCTTTATCAGTGATTTATTCTTACCATGGTGAGGTCACGCTTCCAGGAGGTGTGACACCGGCCATCACATAGCGGACACGGTCGCTGGAGTGAATAACCACCGCATTCACTGCAGTCAAGAGACACGTGCTCTTCGCTCCACGAAACACCACATCTGCAATAATATCCATAAGATAATACCTAAAATTAATACTAATTTAAACAATCATTAATTACTGGATAATGAGACAATGTAATAAATTCATTTTCCAGTCATAACAATAAGTTCTTTAGTATTCATAAGAATTGAATGAGCAAATCGTAAAACGAGATAAGTTGACTATTCGATGAGTTTCTCGGATTTATCATTGAAATTAAGGGAGATAGTGAGATTTCTGTAATAACCTTTTTTGTGCAGCTCATTCGGAGCTTAAAAAAAGTTTATTACGAATATTCCGCTATCTCCTGTAGTTTCGGAGATAATGGAAAATTTATCGTGACGTTTTTCTTCGAACAATAGTATTTTTCCCTCGATTGAGCTTGGCAATAACTGGCACGAAATCACCTTGCTCCGGATCATACCGGATTTCATTGGCGCTGGAATGCCGAGCCGAGTTATTTTGTATTGCGCAATTACTTGGAGTTGTGACAACCATAAGCAGGGCATATCAATCCTCTTCGTATTGTAACAAATTTCCGAATAATTGTCTTGTGCAAATGACAGGGACTTACGTAAAGCAGGAGTTTAATTGAGCCCGAAGTTCCTCGATGGTGAGGATAGTGTCTTGATACTGGGGATGAGAGTCTTGGAGTCCATCGTCCACACTTCCAGTGAGACTGTGGCGCGACAGGGAAATGTTGCTCCTAAAACATCAAATCAAATAAAAAATTCATTATCAATTTTTCAGATCTCAACCTCCGAAATTTCCATTGCTCTCAACTGTCACCGAAACGCCTGATGTCATTAAAAAATCATTATACAACTTGAAAAATGAGAAAATATAGACAAGAACTCCTTGAAATTAAACAAAAATCAATAAAAAACAGTGTTTTTCAATTAATTACCTCGGGAAAACTCCGAAAACCCATTAATTTCAAGAATTTTCCAACAATGTGCACCTGGAAAATTTATCGAAGGCGGGGAAATTCTTAATTAGCAAAGAAAAAAAAATTGTGGCAATGTAATGGAAAGGGGAAGCGCATGAGTAATTAACATTCGAGCCCGACATTCTCTCTCTCGTTTTTTTAATAAAAAAAATCGATGAATAGCTTCATCTTACATAACATTACTGAGAATTCGTGCTATACTGTCGAATCGCGTGAAACGTAGTCTCCAAATAATCGCACAGGCAAGTTGGAAATGATAAATGATAATTTTATCCTTGAACCTGCACCAGACACGATCATGCCTTTGGCTCGTGCCTATGATAATGAAAAGACATAACGAGTGCTCGAGGTATCAATGTGCATGCACTCGCACATGATATTCCGGTAATTTATCGGATTGACTAGAAAAAAAATAACTATTCAGGAATATACATGAGGATGCATGATTTTTGAAAAACCATTTTTTCTAACTACGTGCATTGCAGTGGAATTAAAATGGTGAGACAATAGAGTGCACTGTATTTTCATGTCATATTTATTTTCGCGGCTAATTGTTATTGATAATTAATGCAAAAATCACATCTGTGGATCGAGGTATTTGTATTTTTTAGTAGTCGATTGGAATGCGCAGAATTTCGTCAAAGCAAAAGCCCAAGACGAGAAAAATTCAGTCATCCGAGGAGATGACGCACGCGGATGCTGTAACACGTGGAGAATGAATTTCCGCGTTTAGACGATTTATATATAGATGCGAGACGTGAGCTGTCGATATGAGACGCATTTATGAGGATTATTATAGCATATTGAGTCTAAAAAAAGAATGGCTTCCAAATCTGGTGATAAATTCTAAACAATCGTCTCTAAAAGAAGCTAAATAATCAATCCTTCAATACATTTCAATATCTATTTTACGATAGAAACATGAAATAGAAAAAAAATTATAAATGAGTTATAATATTTTTTTATTTAATTGAGAGTTCGTATTGATGTCAGTCATTAGTTTACGAAAAAATTGGAATTTTTAATGATAAAAATTAAAAAATTTCCGTAGAGGCTCTGATGATATAAATAGGTAATCAATATGTCGGTAGATTATGTAATTAGGTTTTTCGGATAACAAGGCAAATTGATCATCAATTTAGAATTAGTAATTATCTTACCCGTGACGGGAGAGACTCTCCGTGGTAGTTTGAACTGATGTTACAGACATACTTCCAACTTGATTCGATACTTCAACTGAAACACAAGAAGAAAATACCATTTATTATTTTAAACTTGAGGCCCATTATTTTGAATGTCTCAGCCTATCTCTTTCGGCCTTGTGCTCGCACTTTCGCTTTCTCCGAGAAGAAAGTGAATGCACAAGTTTAACGAAATAGACTTGTATTTTATTTTACTTTTTTCTCATTACTTGCGCAATTGCGAGGGCCTTGACGATTTAAAACTGCGCCGTACATGTAGTACGTTTTGAAAACGAAAAATGGAATAGGGCAAGGTCTCCGGGATATGTCCTTGCTCGATAATTAGTGATGCCCTTTCAATTGAATTATTATCCCTTCTCTTTCCTCAGATTCCCTAATTAGCCGAAAAATTGAATTGGAAATGAAAATTGACAGGAATTTCCAGTGATTCTTTCCAAAACATCTTCAAAATCGAGGAGGATAGAGAAATATTCATAATTTTTATTTTCCTCTCAATTATCTCTAATTGCAAACAAAAAAATTTCATAAATTCATTGACAATGAATTTTATTTACAAACTCAAGTTTTTATTGCGCAAATAGCGGTGAATAATCGTAGATATTTTAGTGAGAAATAATGAAATTGAAGAAAAAAGTAGTCATGCCCTTCGATTTTGTTGAAGAGAGAGTGACAAGGCTGAGCGAAATTCAGTCTCCATTATTTCAATTTTACTCCTCATTTGCATGAGATCACGCAAAGTTTTCGTTTGATACGAAACGAGATACGAAGGGAAAAAAATGAATGCGATTAAGGTAAGCCTTGGAATGCAGCAGTGGGTAACAATTCAAGGCACTGAATGTCAATCGATCAAGCACTCATAACTACAGAATAATGTTTCATGACGCAAGACTAGCCAACCCGATTTGATTTATTCACGACAAAATTAAACTAAAAAAAAAAATAATTACTCCTGCCAAATGAATTTACCAACCTAGAATCTCAAACCCCCGACATTTCAAACGCAAATATTCATATGCACTGACTCCCAATTAAATTGACTTCGAAGATAAATTAGTTGGACAGAAGGATTAAATTTTCGAGTCCAGTTTTCGACGAATATCTCAAGAAATAACGGAGATATCGAAATATTCGTCAGAAGCTTTTTTCCAGATCGAGCCCAGACCTACAAAAAAGGTCTCTAAGAAATTCAGCTGTCTCCCATAGATCCCAAGATATCCCCTAAAAACCCTCATCTAATGATATTTTCGTAATTATCGATAATAACCTCGTGTTAATTATAATGACAAATGAACAGATCGATAAAAATAAGTGGTCAAATGCGAGCCAATTGACCGAGGGCCACACATCGTCACCCAGTCATTAGACCAGTGACCGTTGAAAAAAAAAAAATGTCGAAGTTACAGTTCATTAGCTCATTCAGTGACGCATCAACTAAATCGTAAATTAATTATGAAGCACTGACCCTTAACATGCAGTCCACAACTTTATAAATTAATTAGCGATGGAATTAATTTGAAACTGGTATTTTTTTCACCGATCAATGCTCCCGTTTACGTAAATCGGGGATTCCCAATATGAAGAACGGATTAATAACGACGTCACGACGTCTCTGACCGCCCTAGATCCAAAGGGTTGATGACGTTACAATCACGTCACACCCTAGATATCGATTTCCCGGTTCACTAGGTTGAACCTTTGAAAAATAGATAATGAAATAGTTCTGGCATGCGCTGTTCCACCAGAGGAATAAAGTTTAAACGATCACGTGAGAGTATCGTGAGCATATTAATAGATAAATCCCCAAAACCGTACAATCTCGGGTACAATGTGTATTAAAAGGATTGCAACCTGAAATTAGACAGTCGCGACGATGTCTAGATCTTTGGCAATCGTCCTAACACTCGCTGCCCAGTTTTCCACCTGAATATATCTCTCAGACTATATTTTTTTATTTATTTATCAATTTACGTTTCTCATGCTTGAAAATAGACAAGCCCAGGGTGCAGCAACAGCCCTCGAAAAATCGGAGGGTCCACACATTTATTATTTTAAATACAAATAAATAGAATGAAATGCTAATGAGAACTAATGGAAATTGTAAAAGTATAAGAAACGCAAATGCAAAGTGATTGCATCAATAAATAAAGTGCAGTGACAATTGAGTGACCTGGGGGACCCGAAGAACCATCGAAATGAGGTCAATACGCCTCTCCCTCTGCCTTTTTCATCCGAATTGAAGGCATTGATCGCGCAATTTATTCCGCTTTATTGACGCATGTTTACAATCGAATAATCTAGTTAGTGTTTACATTTTGTGCATCGATACCACGTGATCTAAGTGCCACTCCAAATGAGATATTACTGATACTGAAAAAATAATCAATTCCACCGACCACTCATGCAAAAATCCAACCGAGATTACGAGGCTTTTATATAAGATAGAATGTATGATTTATCGCTCGGTAGGAATCTATCTCGACAGGAACTGTAGTTGCATAATTCAATGATAAAATAATGGCTCAGTCAACGTTAACCATCTCCAGACGTATCTAAAAAACTATGTACCCAAGAACTGCATGATAAATGTAACGGAACCTGCGAGTCAGCTAGTCATGAGGAGACAAGTGACCTCGTTCAAGTCATTATTCATGATCCAAACGTCCAATCTTTATTTAACTTTGTAATTTCCGATAATTCCCGCCAATAGATGTCCAACTATTAAATATAAATTGAATCCTGGGTTTAATCCCCCGACATCACCCGTAAAACGACGGAAATTCGCATTCCATTAATACCGAAAAAAGATAATTCAGTCGATCGATCATTTGCTCGTGGCACCACGCATTAAAAAATGAATAAAACTTGTGAAATTTATAGAAGAAATTCTATGGACTTGGGGGTTGATCCCGAACCCACCCGAACACTGTTGGCTGTAACCCCCTTGCCAATATCCAGTGCTGTTACAGTATTGATTCCTCCACAAGTACCAACTCCCTTCAGACCGCCCATTTAACCCGTTTCCCTGACTATCTCCAAGTTTGCACGACAGCACATTAAAATCTCCGTTTAAATCCCCACATTTTCCAGCTATAACTCATCCCATTGGCACTTTCTAGTGTCATGCAGTTAACGAGTGAAAAAGGGTCAGTGAAAGCTCATCCCCGATATCAAGACTCAAGTGAAAGAATTCACATATAGACATTACACCGAGAAACTTACTGAAATCAATCCCAGAGGAGATCCTCAGTTGAATTGAAGAAGTTATTGATCCGGAATTGCAATGGGATCACCAAAAAAAAAGCCACTGGTGCACCTTTTGTTTATACGAACTTGATTGTTTGATTTTAGTGGTGAAGGACTCTTAGGATACCTAGAGCTCGCAACAATACCACGGAGATGGGTGAAATGAGACTGAGCCAGTGTTGGCGGAGCATTGGGGTTTTATAAACGTGCGCCACAGGGTGGGGTTGGTGGCGACTGGAAGGGGACAGGGGAAGCCAGACATTGGAGTGTCGATGTACGTCGATTAGAGGAAGGTGGAGGTGATGCACAGGCTCACCAAGCACCACAAAGGTGCTATTCTCCATCATACGTCACACTGTCTTCTATTACTGTAAATAACGCTGATGCTCGTTGTCTACATCAATCTGCTCACTCACTTGTGAATAAAAGGGCACTGAGTCCTCCGGTCTCTAGGCGATGACGTTCATCCATATCATTTTTTTATTGTTCTTCGTCATTCATTATCGTCGATGTTCATCGCGGTCTTTCTGCTGCTGACACCTCTGTTAATCTCTGATAACACAAAATTTGCTGAATAGGAAGAACCGGAGGAAATCAAGGGCAAGGAAATTTTATTTTTTTAATCCACTCGTTGAGTTTTAATCACAACTGTTGAGTGGATTAAAAAATTTATGGGAGAAGGGATTTCATTCAACCTTTTGTCATTTTCATTGCTTTGCCAAGGGGAAAGGGAAATTTGTTCTCATCGTTGAAGACTCTTTGGAGTAGCGGCAAGTATTTGAGAAATTAATTAATTATGGACAAAATTGAATGGTTGGATCCCCGGAATGGACCTGGAAGGCTGCATCTGGCATTAACTGGACGAGTGACCGTTTTTTTCATTTTGCAATTTTTTTTCCGGTTAAGTGTCAGCGATTATGGAATTTTGGTGGAATCATAATCGAGGAATTACACGTGTGCTTAATGACAATCAGGCAGGGGCTCGTGATACTGTCCCGTGGTGTCCACAATCCGTTTTCACATCACAGGCAAATCAGAGAAAAAAGAATATCATTGAATTCTAGATAAAACATTGCCGAGTCGCCAGGCGGTAATTCCATCCGCTTAAATTAATGTGTGGGCTGTATTATGGGATTTCCCTTTGGACGCCCCCGTCTTCGTGAAACATGTGTCAAGTTTTATAGTCAAGTGGAAATGTTATCTCGTCGGAGAGATAAAGACTGAAGGTTCAGATCAAATAGAGCCAATTCCATAATACATTGCAAATATATTATGGATTGTAATAAGTCACAATGAGAAGCTGAAAATTATCGAACGATTGTACAGGATTAATCACCAGAATCCCCATTTTATCTCTAAGAATATTCGACATCCTTTCGCCAAAATTCAGGTTTTCAAAATTTTCCTGGCAAAATATAACGGTGTGATTGTTTTTAAATGTTTGGGAAAACGCCGCAAAATACTCGCGGTACCTTGAAACTTCATGAGTCAATAAATAATGACAAAACGCTAAAACGTGATATTTTTTCACGTCAATCCCATCGTGAGTTTGCGAGATAAATGAAAAAAAAAAACGTGAAATTTCGCGGAGAGGGTGTAGAATATTCTGAAGAAGTTATTACCGATATCTTTTCATTTTTCATTTTTGCCATTTTCTGGGAAATCCTGCGTCAGACTAATGTAAAAAAAAATACCATTTTGAGGTTTTATCATTAATTGCCAATTTCCATAGTCGTGCGTTAACATTTATCTACTTTAACGTGATGAAACGTAGACAAAACCTCACGAGGCACCGAATAATAATGAAACTTCAAAATAATGTATTTTTTTACGTGAATTTTATCAACCGTTTTTCAATAATCAGTTGAAAAAAAATGAAAATGGGAAGATATCGGAAATAATTCCTCTAGAGAATTGTTCCAACGCTTGATTGAACCAACGAGGAATTTCACATGAACGCGTTGGCAAACTATTAATGCGTCTAGCAAGAAAAACGAAACCGCACTAGTTTTTGCTAGTCTGTACTGGTTGCATTCTTCAGTGCTTGTGTGGCACAGGCAACAACCTCCGCAGCATGTCGTAAAACCTTTTTAGCCACGACGAAAAGGGAATTTCGTTGAACAAGGGAGCAAAGAAAATAGACAGGCAACCAAAGACTCGGATCGAACATCGCCAAGTGAGAAATTGCTGGAAAATTAATTCTTGGAAGACATGCGCATTTAAATGAATTTTCCGGAGAATCCCTGAGCTTGTCCTCCCACCGATTACTCGTCAGTCGAAAATTTATGCGTTTCACCTCGAAACTCTGCGCCAAACTCCAGGAAAAAGTCCTCCAGTCTCAAACCCGGAAAAACTATTATTTTCCAGACGAGTTGTGGATTAAATCATGGATCTCTGTGAAGGAAACTGCGTCAATTCACTTGTGAATGCCTCAAAGATCGACATTTTTATTTATCTTTGCATTTTGTTTTCGGATTTATCCTGGAATAATCGGATGTAACAACAATTACTGATATGATACAATAAATATTTTCACAGTTAAAGAGTTAATTTCTTGATTTTAGTGGATTGAAACTGTACGAAAAAAAAAATAAATTGCGCAATTTGTGGAGAATGACCAGAAAAATTATTCTCTCCCCATTTTCAGTGAAAAAAGGAAGTTCATCAATACGTCATAAATCAGAAACGGAGCAATTCCGAATGAATGAAAAATAAGCTCAAGATAAGATGCAGCACGCGATCGTAAGAATTTTTTTTTGATAAAAATTCTATTTATTATCACCAGAATTTCACAACGACACTTCCGTCAACTCAATGAACACACGTTCCGCGTATGAAATCACACAGACATTTTGCAAAGATCGTGCAAACAGTTGTTACCTTGAGATGTTCTATTTTTGAAAAAAAAGACAACATAATAATAAATAAGAAACGCGAAATAAAAAGAGTGGCTGCCATCCACCAGTCATCCTTCAACGAATGGCTGTTGCAAAAGTCTCAGGGTCGCGACATTCTCTCAAAAGATAAGAGTTGAAACCGAGACACAAAACTTCCGTATATATTCAATTACACCGATTAAAAGTACATGAACCACTCAAAACTTGGAGTTAGACAATGCCCCAGAAGGACAACGGATTAATTAATTTTCTGGGGTTAATTAAACGTCTATAATTGAATCGCAGTGACCTTTAGTTGGGTCTCGCGATTCAAAGGTCACACCGACATGTCTACCCAAGTGCAAAAGTGGCGAAGGTTATGCCTCGCAAAATAAAAGGAAAATAAAATAAAAGTGAAAACGTTTCCCTCCGCTCGATACAATCTGGAAAAAAAAAAATAGAGGTTGAGACCTTACGAGGGTCATTGGAAAATTCCCTCGTCTTCGGAAAATGATACCGCTATTTTCTAAAGCCATTACTACTGCCAATTCATTCTAATACATTCGATAACGTGCAATTGAAATGTATGACTAGCTAAAAGGTAACATTTCGAATCAGCTAGCGAGTAAATTATCGAATAATATATCATACCATCCCCAGCAATAAATAATAAAATTTCCTCACCCCCCTCATTATTTATACCATACACAATTATTATATAAAATGTTAACAATTGACCGGTGACCAGCTCTCCCGAATTAGCAATAAATTCCGTTAAAAATATGAATCTTGAATAATATATCCGAATCTTTGCAGTTGTCATTTAACTCGGCAAAATATGCGTACAATAAATCGTTATCCCTCTGGGATTCTGCGATACCCGAGGATATCTAAGGAGAATAAATTCCAGGAATGGAGGAAGCACGTGGATTTAGTTAATTTTTTCGAGAAATGTCACGCGGCGTTCACATGACTCGATAAACCAGCTTTATTCAATCACCCAACACTGAGTGTACATACACTCATTGCTGTATCATGAAGTAACAGCTTGTGACACATACACTGGCTCAATCAGCGTCTCAAAATTGCTGGTACAAGTGGAGCCATTAGAAGACCCCTTGCCAAAGAAAATTGTGCGGATAACGATCATCACTGCTCATTAACTGATGCTATTAATCCCAAGCTGTCATGATTACTGACAGAAAAATTGGAATGCCATCGCTGATTAGTTACTGTTTAGTCAAATTAATTAATCAATAACTCCCCGTTATCTATCACTAATCAAGCAATGATCATTTGTCAGACTTAAGGTTTAATCTAGTTAATCCAGTTTTATCATGCTCAAGGAAAATTATATAATTTTTTTTTGCTGATAGCAGTAGAACGTGTCAACTTTTTTTCAGTTCGAAGAAAAATCAATCAATGCAGTCTTGGCAGAAATTAATTAATAAGTTATTCCTCATTGACGTCCCTCACGGGTCATATCTATATTTCACAAAGCAAATTCAATTAAATAATTACAATTTTTATTTGAGAGTGTTGAAATGATGCTGTGCATAATAGACTTGTCACCTATCTCACGAAAATGTCCACTTTTTTCGGAATTAATAATATATTTATTAAGATAAAGGAAATAAATTTTTCGTTCAACTGAAAGAAAAAAAATCCTTCCTTAACCCACGGAATATTCCGAAGTAATATGTTTTACAACACGTGCTGATAGAGATGAGCTCTTTACTCTCGAAACACCAATCATTCTCCCTGAATCCATCTGATATAGTCCAAGGTCATCAACCTGTCACGTTTATCATTCGTGCAAACCATACAGAGAACAGAAACACGGAGAACTCAGTATTTGTATAGGTGAACTTCTCGAATAAAGCAGAGGAAAAAATGAATTTCCATTCACAAGATTCTCCGAACAATCCGGGATTCCCTGAATTGTTTGACAAGGATATATGCAATTCACTTATCGATCTGCGCATATATTAAAATCCATATCGATTTGCGTCATCGCATACTTTAGAATCCGATTGTGATGAGACAGCCAAGAAGTTTTGGTGGATTGCCATTGGAATTTTCAGGATTAATATTTCAGGGAATGGTAAAACCCAGATGAGTCTCAGTATCAAAATAATATTTATCACTACCCATCAATCGAATTTCCAATGTGTAATGATTGAACCAGTGAATGTTTAGTAATCATTGAGAATTCCTGACGTACAGAGGGCAAATGTCATCGACGCTAGTCGTTGGGGGTATGATAACCCCTATCGGCACGTTTTGCTGGGAAAATTTTGCGTCATTCCTTTTTTTTTTCTCACACGTATCAATATTATTCTCTGAGGCTCAACAGGGAAGTCAACAGTCCAAAAGGAAAAAAAATAAGGATGACCTCCACACTGTAAGGTGATTTAGCAACTCGATTCTGGAGGCATGACCGATGTTTACGCTGAATCAGAGGAATGTTACAACAGAAGTGAAATGTATTTTCGTTGTGGACGAAATGACGATTCTGACCCAGCAACCCAGATTATTCCTCGAGATGCGGAGGAAAATAAAAAAAAAAACCTCGGCATTCCCTTGGAAATCCGACTGATCAACTGAAAACTCCTGTGATGATTGTTTCTGCAGACGTCTAGGTCAGACGATAGCACACCCACGTGTTGAGAGGACTTCCTCGTAGAACGAAGCTGATATGTTTTGGATTTAATTGTGTCTGTGGTATTGTTTGTTTCACTCTCGCCTCAGATTACACGATCGCGATTACCTCCGAGGACAGTCACGTGTCAACAAATGAGAAATCAAATAGAACAATGATTAATGCCCCAAATTCATGACGAATAACAATAAATAGTGCTATTCATTGTTGTATCCAGCGCGAATATTAATGTTGACATAACGATTTATGCCACTCTCATCGGTTTTTAATTAATGGTAACGTAATCTGTTGGAAATATTTTCTCAGAACCGTTATCACAGGTCAAAGGAAATAACCAGTGAATTAGACTTCGTGAGTTAAGCAATTCACCACGTGGACCTACACAAAAGACGAAGGCCCTTCTTTTAGGGGCAGACCTTCGAGTTAAAATTAAATAAATGACGGAGTCGTGTATTGAAAAGAGAAGGTCTTGTAATAATTGTAATGACAATATTATAATGATGGTGTTAAAATACTCAGGTAGACGTCGGATGATTACGAGTTCACTGATATCACGGGGACATACGAACGCCAGAGTCATGTATTCTTGAATGTCATCCAATAATGTGCGAGGAGAATTGGAAGATAACGAGTCATACGCTCGAGATATTCTTGCAGTGAATTATAATAAATCGTATCTTCTCACGACTCAATCATAAATCCCCCCGAAAATTGGGGAACGGAAAATCACTAGTTTTCATTTTCGATTGTGGGGTAGAACATAAAACCAAGACCTGATTAAGTGGTTGCAAATTATCAAAATTCTCAATTTATAACACCGATTTACGGTTAATTGTAGACTAATTATCAAAAACCAATGACAGTAAATATTCAGTGATTACGAATTAATTTGAATTTAATTGAATAAACCAATAAGTTTTAATGAATAAATGCGTGAATTTTCTTAACGAAAAAAAAACACAGATGCGATTCTGAAAATAATTGTGTTAACATGGCATGTATTAACACTAAAATGGCAGTTACAAAACCCTGGAGTAAAACAATAAAACGATGTTATAAGATACACGAGGTGTCGGGCTAGCGTTGGCGAGTGAGTGGCAGTCCGCGTGAGTAATGAAAAGCTATGGGTGTCAAATCGAGTGAAAACCCCGAAATAGAAAATTATGAAGTAAAGGAATAATTTAAAAAATAGAAACAGAGAAATCAGTCCAGTGCTCACGTTTCGTCATGGAGACAGTGATTCCGGGAGTGGAAAGGTCTAAAGCAGCTTGCGTCCTTGTTGATTTAAGGAGGGTAGTCGGTAGAAAATCTGGATCGTCCACATCGAATTTCACACTCTCCTCGAATTCCGTGAGGGCTCCCTCCATTTCTCAACCTCGAATTATTTCTTTTTGGCACAATCCTAGGATACAAATTCAATTGAGTATTCGCTACTACCATGATACCTCCATCTCTATCTAGTTAATTAATTGGCGCGTTAATAATCTCAAGGATCATGTCATAGTAGTCATGTCACCGAGGAATTAATTTTACACGAATTACGAATGTTTATGGATATTCAAGTGACTGTGGGTGATGATTGCAGTGATTGCAGTGATTGCAGTGAGTGCAGTGAGTAGTGATTGCGAATGCCAGGGTAGCTACAGTGAAAGAAAATCCAAGACAATTGATGAAAGTTTGATGATAATCTTGGAATTCGTACCTGAACAGCTGCGTCGCTGCGAGAATAAACTGCTGGATCTTTTGAACGTGCACTCGTGAGTAAAAACCCTCAGCTATCTCCGTTCTTATGATCTCCCAGTGAACCAGTGTTATTGTTATTATTCGGCTGGTATGATTTGATGTAGCACGTTGATGGTCAACGACCCAGGAGTGTCGTTGTACTCAGTACCGAGAGTTCAGAATTTCAGTTCAATTTCCCTCACTGTGGGTTTTGCTCGTTGATTATTATGTTAATCCGTTATGATTGTCGCACGTAATGATATCAGGTGGCAGTCAGTGTTATGGAACTAAAATGTCATGTTATTGATGAATAAAAATGATATATGTGGGACCAACGAACAAACGCTTACATGGGACTCCACGGAGTGAGATTGGCGCAGGCCCAAGTGCCCAACGCCCTCTCACTTCCCTCTTTTTCTATTTTCATGTCTCTCTTATTTCAAAATGGTGGAGAAATTGATAATGCAGGAGCTATTGATAAAATGGCAAACTGTATTATCACGTCGTATTATTTTTTCAAACCTTTTTGTAATAAATTATTTCATACATCTCAGCGTTAATTTGCAAATATAAAAATTGGGTCAACTCTCGTTGACGTCGAAATATTCGCTGTTTTAAACAAGTTGTTTTTTTAGATGAGGAATAAAAAAAAACAGGTTTGGCTGTCTGGGAAAGAAGAATAAAGTATCATATGATATGTATGATATATATATAATTCTTGAATATTCATTTTTTATTGAATATTCAAATTTAGAATGTAAATAATTCCAAGTGAAGCCAGGAGGGTCTTCACGTTTAATTCTATTGGAACGTCAACCTGTATATAAAAACTGTAAATTAAAGTAAAAATGTAGAATCTACAATTCCTCTCGTGGAATTGATGTGGCTGATCTCTCTGGAGGGAATCCCCAGAAGAATGTTGGATATCCTTTGACTTCTCGTTCTCTCGCGACGAATGCACTGTACGATGAAATACAGTTACCTATGAAATAGTTAGCTCTACCAAGAATTGCTAAATCGAGGTGTGGAGACACTGGATCAGGCTGTCTATGCACACTTATCTGAATGAAAAAAAAAATAGAGTGATTACGATTTAATTTTGTACGTTGTACTGAATGAATTCTCACCTCCATTCTCGATAGAGCTTTCGAGAGCTCCTCGATCATGTAATTACTGTCGGATGCAACGAAGATTGATTTTATATTTTTTCCATTCCTGATAACACGTTTTATGTGCTTAAGAATAATATCGAGGGAAGGTAGACACATCCCCTGAGTCGCTTTCCCCCTCTCATTTCGGTACCCCAAACACTGGGGGGCAGCGAATAAATTCGGAGTTGTCGAGATAAATTCACACGCCCGCACCTGAAATTTTTTTCAAGTTTAAATATCAATATCTTATTGAATTCAAATCAGATTATTGTATTGGTATTACTATTACCCAGTCAATTCCATTCCTGAGATGAATCCCAATGAAGGCACCTTTTGGCAAATTGTCTTTAATAAATTTCCTCGCTTTTCTCTGCATTTCATCGCTCCAGATTACGCATTTCTGTAGATATTTATTCTCCAGTTGCACTGGAAAGCTTGCTGGAGCCCCAGTAAAAGCCAATACTGGCCAGGAAGTCGGGGGATATTTTCTCTTCCACTGACTCGCGATATCAGTGTTATAGACGTCGTAATGGAATGGTCCATAGAACTCTGAACCTGTGAAGTCGACGGTGAATCTATTCCAGAAGGGCCCAAAAGGGCTGCCTTCCTTGGCATTACAAGATTCTTTGTTGCCTCGTGGTGAATAGCAAAATGCTAGAAATACAGAACACGTTAACTCGCAATAATTAATTTCCAAAATTTCCCAGATTAATTCTCATTCGTGTTGACAAAGAAACGAACAAGATTCTGGAATTGGATACCTAAATTATATGATGAATTTTAATGGATATTCTTACAAATCCTCTCAGAGGCTGGCCACACTGAAGGTGCCAACTCCTCCATGAATTTCTCCATTAAAATCACTTTGTGACATTTTTCCAATTCTGTTACGTTGAAATACGAATCGTAAGGGACTTGCCTCTGAAAAAATAACGTTTTTCATTCACTTGCAGGGTGAGATAAGCAGTAATGTCGGGCAAATCTTACAGAAGCAGCTTCTCCAGTCCTGTACTCCACCCATGGAGGAATAACAAATGTTCGGTTGAGGGCCTTGGCAAAGCCCAGAGCACCGAGAAAATGATCTGCTTGATTTCCAAATCGTCCTAATGACCAAAAAATAATAATCAGATAATTAACAGTACGCGGAGTGATACTACATTCAGTAATCACTCATGACTATAATAATTGTTATAATCTTAACCTCTTATTAACTATTAATGAATTAAAATTCCTCAAGTATTTTTCTATACAAAAACACAATAAAGATCTAAACTGCATGCGGAAGGATCCTGAATTTTTCTGAGACAGTGAAGTTCTATTTTCTATTTACAATTTAAATAAATACTCACCCATACAGGGACAGTAAACAATGTATCCATTTGTATCTACGTTCACTTGATTAGAAAATGCATG